ATATTTTATTTTTGCTTCTCAATTTCTTTTTTCTTTTTTCTTTTTTTTTTCCCGCATGCATTTCTTGTTCTATTTAAATACAGCACTGAGTTCTGTTGCATTTGAAAATTTTTTCCTCTTGCAGGTTGTTGAGAATCGTGTGCAACTGCTTGTAGAATTGGAGGAGTTAGATTTAGCTGAGAAATCGGAAGTGAATTCTCTTATTGAATCTTTGATAGTATCCCAAAATGATAAACTCATGTTCATGCTCCACACTTTAGTCTAGGTTTATGAGTATCTCTTATTATTCAATTCATATTCATGCTATTTTCTAGTGAAGGCTGACATGTCTTTGCATTCAACTGATTTTAGAGTTTGAATGTTCTGGTATCATAACTGCTTGATCTCATTGGTTATTTTAGAAAAAATATAATGGTATTTACTGTTGAAATAATACTTTTTTTTTGGTCTTATCAACATGAGCTAAACCAGATAATCAACATGGAAAGTGGAACCAAAAATTTCTTGCTATTGGTTGAAATCTGAGATCTTTTACTACCTATATAATTTAATGAAATTTTAGGCTTGTGTTTGAAGCAAAAGGAATATCTGGCATATCAGTAAGTTTTATCTGTTTTGATTTTTGATATTACAATTTACAGTTTTATGCTTATGCCTCATTTCTCCAATTATTTCTGATTGCTGCTTGTCATATACCTTAACAATCACTAGATATTATGGGAAGACTTCACTTGCCTGGATATATCCCAATGCACCCTGAACAAGACTATTCTGCATGTGGCTGCAAAATACTTGGATTCAGATATATCTGAATGCCTAGGACAATTTCTTGGTCTAGGAGTGAAAGTAAGTTTGTTTTTGTTGTCTGTTTAATATCTAGACTACAATTATCAAATATATTTTGCTGCACCTGGTGTATTTTTGTTTCCTCAATGAGAATCTGTAGTTTTCATCTAGGCTTTTTTCTTCAGCAAACATATGGTGTAGAAAGCATCTGAAGATATTTTGTTGTCAGGCAAATATATTTTGCTGCACATGGTGTGTTTTTGTTGCCTTGATGAGGATCTATACTTTTCATCCTGGATTTTTTTTCTTAGGCGAACATTTGGTGTAGAAAGCATCTAAAGATGACACTGATGTCAACAGAGGATTCTGAAGAAGAGGAACACAGTAGCATTTTCTATCAGGTAAACAAGTCTGAAATTATAAAAGGATGGGATGACAAAATTTTGGACTGTAATTGTATTTATAGATCCACATCTCATTCAATAAATTGTTCTCTTGACTCGTGATTTAGGTAAATTTTCTTTCATAAAAAAACCAAGGAAGGCAAACTGTGCACCATATGATATGCTAGAAGGCAAACAATTCACATGGCAATGCATACAGGCTATGTTTGTTTTATTGTTTAGAATCTTGACCTATTGGAGACTTTCTATAGAAATTTTCTTTTGATGGTTCCATCAATGCTATATTTTATTCTTTAGAACTATATTGAATCTCATGTATGTAAATCAAATTGAGGTTGTTGAGATTATTCTATAGTTACTTTGCAAGTCTGCATCATGTTCTGATGTTCCAAAATTTGATGTTCCAAGATTTTGATTCTTATGAAGAGCTATTTGTGCTATGATATTAAATGTCTTATATGTTCAAAAACAGGGGCTCTTTATTGTTACATGTGATTTTGACAAAGTTTTAGTATGTTCATTCAAGTTTAACTTGCGGTTGAAGCTTGACAGCCTCTGTATTCTCCAAAAGTTTTTCAGTCCTGAACATATATGATTGCTTTAGTGTTGATTCGACAGGGATTACAAGCTTCTAATTCATTTTATTAGATGTTTGCAGTTGAAACATTTCGAGTCTTGTCCCCTTCTCTACATTTTTCTCTGTTCCGTGACAACCAAAGATGGAATGGGTTTGTCCTTTGTTTGGGACATGTCTATCTTCAATATGGACAAGTCATATGATTATTTTTGGTTATTTTTCCAATTGGTTGAGGGCTTTCATGTGTAAAACGCTTTTTGCAATCTGTTTCAGATTATGCTTTCAGACTCTTTTTGCTTCCTGAAGTATCTTTCTACCTTTTTGAAATCTATTCAAATGTAATTGCATCATGTGTTCTTTGACATCTTTTAACTTCACTTCAGTTGCTTTTGGATTTGCTGAGCTACTCTTCTGCTAGTTATTCAGCTTTTGCAAGATATCCCATATTGGGTAACAAAGAGGTGATGTTAAGCCTTGGGAATTTCATCTCAGAACAGTTAAATCTGACAAAAGATTCAGTATCAGAAATAAAGGTAATGAATGCATGCATTGATTCTATCTTTGTTATAATTCCCCAATCTGAGTTCATAGTTCGCATGTTTCCTTTGGGAGATTTGTTTCAAAATTTTGATTTGTGTATGAATTTATTCGTTATATGGTTTTTCGAGATAAGATATATTTTCTAAAGACACAATTTCTGATGTCCATTTAATCATTTATGTGGATAAACCTCCAATGGTGTTTGTTGGCAATTTGCTGTTTTGTCAAGTGTCAGGCATGCCTTAATCGAAGAAGTAATTCTATTAAGAAAATCAAATTAGGTACCCTTTGTTGCGGCCAGGATAATCCTTTGTTCCAAAGCCCCGGGGTTATTTATGACTAGCCGATTAAAAATTCTTAGATGTACTAGTGTTGCGTCTTCGATGCAGTCATTGATTCTCCCGTGAGTTCACAATTTCCACTAGCAAACCTATTACCGATGAGGAAGGCATTTTTGTTATGCTGTTAATGCTTGTACTTGCTCTGCTATAGTAAATATGATAGAGATAATGAAGTTTGTTGTAACGTCAATGACTGTTTTCTAGATAAACCAAGTGATTGGTAAAAATGATTGTTGTTACTATTTTGAGTTGACTTCTTTTGCTGGCTTGATGAGTGAAACTTGATATACTTTTGTGTGAATGAATTTTATTTATTTTTTATTTTTTAAAGCTCTGCCTATTGCTTGCTAACTCTCTTAATTGCTATCCAGAAGATTCATACTTTAGTTCCAGAGTTATTGAAGGGAGTACAGGTGGCACTCGATGCTGTGACTCGACTATGCAGGGTATATTCAGATGGTGTTAATTGGGATATCTACCTTTTGAAAACTAAAGAAGTTGAAAGCATTACAGACATCAAGGAGGCTGAAAATGCAGATCCTGTCATCAATATGATCAAATGTACAATAGAAAAGTTGTGTGAATTGGGTGTCCTTGCAGCTGACAATGGTGGCAGTCTTGTGAGTCTATTAAACATGTCATGGAAGGGTGTAGTTACATTGCTTCAGCTCGGGAACGGTGCTTTGGCAGCAAAGGTGAACATAGCAGGTGTTATTATGACCCTAATTTCACTGGCCAACGAGTCTTTAAGATGTGCAGCTGGGACTTGGTCGGCTTCACTAAAGGAAATGGTCTCTGTGTCTGAAGCTAAAAGGATTTACCTTCCTGTGAAATTTTATCTGATTAATGCTGTAAGAATTATTTCTCAATACCAATGTGAAGCACTTTCTCTATACAGAGATATAACACACTGTGTCATTATGATATTGACCTTTAGAATTTCGCTGAGTAAGGTAGAACCTTTGAAATCTGCAAGTGAAGTGTTAGCAGAAATTCTGGAGCCAACATCCCTACACTTACTCAATGGTCTACTAACTTCAGGTCAGGTGAAAGAAGAGCAAAAGTTCCATATTTTGGACTGGTTGTTCAGTAATGACAGTGATTTGGGATCTGTTGATGAAATTACAAATAATAACGATGGAAACAATTCATTACATGCAATATTTTCTGTAAATTCCAATGCTATGAACCAAGCAAAAGTATTGGACCTTGGTCGTGTTGCTTTATTTCTTCATCTTTTGAAAAGTGCTCCTGATCTAGAAGATGATGTCAGATTTGGAATTGCCAGAAAGCTAGGATGGCTTTTGGATATACTCATAAATGAAGAAGTATATTCTTCAATTATTGCCTTGCAAACTCCTGCTGTAAATAGTTCTGGCCAAAACCAGGAACTTGGTTACCAGCCTATGTTCTGTTCTGTACTTCATGCGTTGAAGACATTCATGATAGTAACATCTTCAAGTCCGGTTTGGGGCGAGGTAGAGTCATTCCTTCTCGAAAATCTCTTCCATCCTCACTTTCTCTGTTGGGAAATTATTACTGAACTTTGGTGTTTCATGTTGCGCCATGCTGATCCAGACATGATGAATGACATTGTTGACAAACTTTTCTCACTATTGAGACATACAGCTGCTCCAGAATCAGTATTATTTCCTAGTAGTCATCTGCGAAAAATTGCAAGATTGATCTGCATGTTTCTAAATTACGGTACAGAATTGATGGTTGATCGAGTTTACACTTCTGTTGTTGGCAATGACAGATCTCAGTGTTCATCAAGTGTGTATACAGCACTAATCATGGAAGGTTTCCCTTTAAATAGTCTCCCAGAAAAGACGAGAAGTACTGCAAAAGAAAGAATTATAACTGAATATTTTCACTTTATAGAGAGCATGGAAGAGAAGTCATCTGAACCATGTGTTTCTGGCATTTATGGTGCTCCAGTTTTTGTTCTCTCTGCTGCTTTGCAGTCTCTGTAAGTATATGATACTATAATACTTCAAGTTTAAATCTATTGAATCTTGCTGTCATGACTAAATTGAGTAAAATGCCAATGTTTATGCATAAAACATTCATTATTACATCTCATATCCTATCTTAATTCTTTAAATACATTTATGTTTCCTTTTGTTTTTACTTTAAGTATTTGTTAATTCTTTTTCATACATGTATAGCCAGGTCAGCCTATCTGATACTGAGATGAAAACTCTGAAGTACCTGGTTCCTATGATTCACAAGTACAAAAACTCCACAGACGACCAAATTAAAGATCATTACTGCAAGCTTCTAGGTGAATTGTTAGGCATTTTTTCTCACATGAACCATTTGTACTCATCTGATGATATGGAAGGAGTTATTTTGGAGCTTCAGAAGCTCTTTATCTCGAGGCCAGAAAAATCAGATGGTCAACTATTTTGGTGCAAACCTAACCTAGCTCGTTTCATGGGCGGTCTTGGTCATATGGATTTGGCAGATAGTGATGATAGTGCTCGGAGTTCAGCTGCTTGGGAATTGTATCACATGTTACTAAGGGAGCAGCACTGGGCATTTGTTCACCTGGCGATCTCAGCATTTGGATATTTTGCTGCTCATACTTCTTGTAATCAGCTGTGGAGATTTGTGCCACAAGATGCTGCTCTGTCTTTTGACTTGGAATCTGGAAACGAAGCTGATGAAGAAAGGTTTATGTCTGAGTTAAAAGCATTTCTTGAGAAGGAAATTGTGAAACCAAGATCCCATCAGTTAGAGTTGCTCGTTAAAGAAGGTCAAATGTTAAAAGAACTTGTTCAAAACAGTGGAAAGATCAATCCAGAGTCTATAGCATGTGATATGATGGAGATTGACGATGAGAAACATTTCAGTAGGAAAAGAAAATTTCCTGATGGAATCAACAAGGGAGTAGAATTACTGCAGAGTGGCTTGAAGGTTATGGGTGATGTTCTTTCCCAGTGGCAACATAATCAAGTTGACTCTACTGAAGTACATAGAACATTTTTGACTCATTTTTCTAGGGTTGAAGATGCAATTGCAGACTTACTTAGCCTGGCTGGTAGTGGCTAGGTGGCTGAACAATGCATGCTGAAATTGGTCAATGACATCTTGGCAGCAGTGGACTAAGTCAAAAGTTTGTGGTTCCAGAAGAAATTGTGCTCTAGCAAGGTATGAGCTTTAACTCTCATTCTTCTATTTCCTGATACATCTTGTTTGCATTGGATAGTGATAGTTACTGGTGTTCAATATATTAACTTCTACAAAAATGTGAACTGTTCATATTTGTATGTGAATTAAATTGTTCGATGATCAAAAGCTTTGTTGAATCAAACCTATGAGTCTGCCATGGCTTTACTTTTGAGTAAGTGTAAGAATCGAAGAACATAAGATCGACAAATTGTTGATTCTTTCAGCTGGCGATTTAGATCAAAATTGGAGGAAAAAAATCATAATTATTTACCATTTTAATCAATTCAAAACTAAATTAAAACATGCTGTTGCAGCCGAAACTTAACAGGCTGGGTACCTAACCTAATAAAAAGTTTCTCCCATATTCCCTAAAGTCTTACAACTACAACATAAGCCCCGAATAAAAATACTAAAATTCGAATCAAGCTTGCGCTTGTGTGTTGGACTGCATCACTTCCACGCCATTCATCATATGGAGTCATGTCAATGGCTTATTCTACAATGAACCGTCAAAGGTTACTAGCATGAACTCTTGAGTGCCTCCCTCTTGCAATTGGAACTTGGATATTTGCTTATTCAAAATGATCATGTTTGTTTTGTATCCAACTGCTATGTCATTGAGTGCCTACGACTAGCCAACTTGTTTGCAATTCATTTCCTTTAACTTAGGGTCCACTATATCCAATGGCATGCTGGAACTTGTACTCTCAAGCACTGAGGGTCATTGGTGTGCCCTACCATGCAATTTTCGTGCTCGACACTCCCTAGTGGCCCTTTCATCTTTTATCTGGTGTTGCCCTACAATGTCATCCTCGAAGCTAATGGACCTCATGTGGCAAGGTACCATAGCCTATTCGAAAAATAGTTCAGAAGATACTTGGAGTTGCCTTGAAATTTCATTCAGTTTAAAGTGTTACTCCTTTAATTTACATTTTTACTATAACTTTAAGTACAGATAGGAGTAGGGTATTTCAAATGTGAAACTAATCGATTATTGGGTATAGGATATATATTGAAATTTCTCCAATTTCTCTCCTGTTTAATTATTTCTCTCAATCTACATTAGGACACTTCTTCAAGAAGTACATATCCTGCCACTAGGTGCCCCTCAACACCTTTAGATTCAGAGGCGGACCTGCTTGTAGACAAGGAAGGTGATCACCTAGGGTTTCGCTTTTATAAGGGCCCCCAAAATAAATAATTACACATAGTTCATAAAAAATAACAAACAAAATAAAGCCCAATTGCTATCAGTTAAGCCAATTCAACTTCCAATTAGCAGACATACTAATTTTTAATTAGAATGTAAATGTTAAGTGTTTTTTTTTTTTTTTTTTTTTTTGTAGAAGAATTTAAATCTTAATTATATGAATATTTTAGCTCATGTTTGGGCTCCATGAACATGAGTTTTTGGGAGAAAATGTGTTTTGGAGTAATCATTTTTTAGAAAAATATATGGTAAAAAAATAATGAAAAGTTTTTGATTTATGCATGATATTATTTTATGGGAGAATGTGTAATTAAAAGAATTTTTATTTTTATTTATTTATTTATTTATTTATTTTTTTGGGGTAAAAATGGAGCCCAGATATGGTTAGTTATTGGCCCGTGTGATGCAAGTGACTTTTTGTAATGATGTATTCAATAGAGTTTAAACAAATCATCTATTTATTTATTCTTTCATTTCGGGATAATATAAATGGAAAAATGAAAACATACTTGTAGGAATTTGAATGAATAATTCATTAACTAAATAGGAAAAGTATAATAAAATGAAAAAAATTCAATTCAACACGGTAGTAACATTTAGAATATAACAATTTAATATTCAAACGGAAAGTTAAGAATTTAGTTTTAGTATCAAATAAGCAAACATAAAATGATTAGAAAGAAACATTTAGAAATAAGCTATGTAGGGATTAAGCTTTCATATGTAGCAGGCAATTTGTACACCATGAACATAGCAATTCATCATTGATGAGCTCAGAGACACATGTATCATCTATTTTGATTAGTTTTTCCCTTATAGTGTACACAATGTAGTACAAAACAGCGTATATGTCACCGTTTCGTCTTAAATTTGTACGCACTTGTCAATTATCATGTGAAGAATCGCGGACTCATACATTCTGCACAAATTTGGGTGGGAGTCTTCAAGCAAAGTTTCTGGGTACATACTACAAAATAATATGAAAAATGAATAAAACATGGAATCAAAAATTTAATCGAAAAGGGCAATCGTAAATTTATGTTTTGTGTTTATTTAAAAAGGAAATGACGTTGAAGGCAACGAAGTTAAAGAAGAGCTCGCAACTTTTCAATGTCCGTCATGATTGGCTGCCTATGTTACTCGAAATATAGGATTGTTTGTAGAATAAACTTTCAAAAAAGTCATCCTCATTTATTACTTCTATGGCAGAATGATCAAATATTGAAACATTGAATGAGAAATTTCAAATGTATTTAAACACAATAAAATAACCAGCTTGTGAGCCACGATGATGAATGCATATTTTTTTCATCTAGCAACAAGTTATACGTCATCATCTACTCTTTGATTGTATATAAAAAATTATTCCATAGAACTAGTTTACCAAGTTCATGTCCTGAATGGAGTACAAAACATTTAACATGTGACCATATAAATAATAATAAAAATTATGCAAATGATTTCTTAAGCATCGGTGCTTAGTTTATATTAAGCACCGGTGATATGATACATCATTTAATTAGTGAATTATTAAATACATGTGATTGATTCACCAATTATATGGTGTACTATATTACCGGTGCTGAGGAGATATGTGTGTGTGTGTGACACAATATTTAATTGGTAAATAAGTTAATGGTATGTCCCATATATTTAATGATTCGTCAATTAAATGATGTGTTATGTCATTGATGCTTAACATAAGCTAAGCACCAGTGCTTAGGATATATAACCTAATGATGACATGATATGTTGAAAGAAGCGTTGTGGTAAATCAACTCCACCAGATATGATGTTTGCACTACAAGAACTAGTTGGAAAAACTATACGTTGTTTAAAAAGAATTTACAAAAAAAATTACATTAAATGTTAAAAGATTTATCATCATTTAAGCATGAGTTATCTATACGTCATCTAACACATCATTGAGCACGAGTTAATAAAATTAACAGTTTGAAATACAAGTTTTAACATCCTAACAGCTCAGAATTACATTTAACAATTAGTAGTAAATAAAACAATAGACAAGATGCAGAGTAAGAGGACAAAAAATAAAACATGAATGCTTAAACTGAATAGTATTTCTAAATCTAATTGGAACTATAGATCTTATGTGTATATAAATTTTAACTATCATTATCCCCAATGTGTACTACAGAATTTTAACTCGAGTTAGAATCCGATCGATGCAATCAATAATAAAGAATAAAAATCAAAATGTGTTTTCTTTCTTTTTAATATAGTTCGTCAATTAATTGCAAAGATTAACTCGTTCCCTTGGACTTTACACTAAAGAGAATAGATGAAAATGCAGATATCAAATGTACAAGCATTTTCTTCACTAGTATTATCTATGAAGGAAAGTCTTGATCAAATCACAGATGGTTAAACCACTAAGCCCCCTTTCGGTCACTGATCATGTAGTTCAACTTTCATCAATGACTGTTTCAGTCATTGAATTTTTTTCCTCTATAAGTAGCCATGAATCCAATTCTTTTTTTCACACAATTCGACAACAACTCTCTCTTTCTCTCAATCTCTCTTGTGCTCAATTATCAATAATTATACAATACACATTCATTTTTACAATTTCATCATCTTCAATTTTAATCATTCAATTTCAATTCATTCAATTCTCATTTTTGACACTACATATTAAAAATTCACAATTTTAATTTCGTACTCTTTAATCAAGTCCTAGTGTATCATCTATACGGTATATTTTTAATTTCTTCACAATTTACAAATGGATCCATACTCATTTGTCGAGGGCTTGTTCGGTGTCGGGGGTGAATCACCTGCGATGTCGCAAAGTCAATATTAGAATCAGTTTTTCGGTCTAAACGAATTACCCATTCCTGAAGATATTCCAAATTTGGATGCAGAAGGAGGCAATACTCCAATTAATTTGAATAACGTTGATATTCCCAAAGTAGAACAAGAGGAGCAACCCGAATTAGACATTCCCAATGCTAGAGGGGAGCGAAAGGGAAAAAAGGGCAAAATGTTGGGATCATTTCAAATTGATTTCAACGAGTCGTGTTATCGATTCAGTCCCAGAGTCCAAAACAATATGTAAATACTGCCAACAACGATTGACATGGCTAAAAGGCATTGGTCCCACCCACCTCAACCGTCACTACAAAGCGTGTACGATTAAACATGGACTTCTTGAAGCTGGTCAACCACAACTGTAATTTGGTTGTCCAGGCGCCAATTCTACAACTCGCGCCCTCACCAAGTTGATGTATTCAGAAGAGAATCCTCGAACGGGAATGGTGAAACTTGTTGTTGGTGCTGAGTTGCCTCTTGCAATAACAAACAACCAATATTTCGTCTCATACGTTAAAGAATATCTTCAGTTGAGGTGTGTTGGGGTAAGTCAAAACAATAAAATATTTTCTTCAAACAAAACAACAATTGATTTTGAATTTGCATAAATATTGGGGTGTTATATCTTTAACTTCACATATATGGGAGGTAATTAATAAAAGTGCTTATATAGTTGTAACTGCACAGTACATAGACCCACTTTGGTGATGTATAAAAAAATTATTGCTTTTAAAATTATTGAATTCTCTCGTAATTCTAACAATATATATAATGCGATTATGACCATTATTAGAGAATATTGTTGCGAAAGTAAAATTCGTTCTTTTACATTCGACAATGCTAGTATTGATAAAGTAGTTATTGATAAATTATGTAGGGTATTGTAGCTTGATTTTGGTGGTTATTTGTTTCATATTCGTTGTGTGTGCCATATTTTAATATAACTTGTGCATTTCATGTGTCCCAATAAAGATTTGTTTGAAGCATATAAGACGGTGACATGAGGTGTCGTTATCAAGAAAAACAACATATCTTGTCGGGTACCTAGTGTTTGGATATTCGATTAAAGTTGGTAGATGAAATATGTAGAATGTTAGATC